CAACAATAAGTAATAAAGTAATGTTTATATGTGGTGATTTTAATATTGATCTGTTAAATCCCAATAAGCATAAAGGAACTGATGAATTTATTAATGTACTGTACAGCTGTAGTCTATATCCCAAAATTTCAAGACCCAGTAGAATGAATAACTACTTATAATGCAACATTAATTGATAATATATTTACAAATGATATTGACAATAGAATTGTAAGTGGACTTTTGATCAATGATATTACTGATCATTTGCCAGTGTTTTTAGTTTATAATAGTCATCATAGAAAACCAAAGACCAAATACTAATCCCATATATAAGCGGGTGATAAATGAAGAATCTAAAAGGACCTTAAAAGAGGACTTTATGGGTCAGGACTGGGAATCGGTATATAGGGAAGGAGACCTGGACAAAGCATATGAGCAATTTTTATATATATTTAAATTATCGTATGACAAGAACTGTCCAAGTAAATTGTATAGGAGAGGCAATAATTATGATCAGAAGCCATGGATGACTAAGGGATTACAGATCGCATGTAAGAAGAAGAATGCACTACATAGAGAGTTCATAAAATACAGATCAAAGAAAACGGAGGGTAAATATAAGATATATAATAATAGATTAATCAATGTAATGAGGAGCTGTAAAAAACAATATTACTGTAAATTATTGGTGGATAATAAAAACAATATGAGAGGTACTTCGAATATATTAAACAGTTTAATTAGCAACTTTTGGATTTTGATTATGCTGGAAAATGAAAAGGTAAAGAAATGATGTGATACAGACAAATTATCACTTCATTTGGATAAGACTAAATGCATGGTATTTGGTAATCATAGGCTGGACAATTAAATCCAAGTAATGGTTGGAGGTGTTAATATAGAAAGAGTTTATGAAATAAAATTTCTAGGTGTTATCATTGATGACAAAATTTGCTGGAAACCTCACATTAAATATATACAAAACAAAATGGCTAAAAGCATTTCAATACTGGCGAGAGTGAAACATATTCTGGATTGGAAGTCACTTTGCATTCTTTATTGTTCTTTAATTTTACCATATTTAGATTATTGTGTTGAGAGTTGGGGAAATACATACAAAAGTTAACTGCAGTCATTATTCATACTTCAGAAAAGGGCCATAAGCTTGGATACCGAGATCATACTAGTGCATCCTTCATACAATCTGAATTGTTAAAATTTTTTGATCTAGTGGAGTATAAATCTGCTGTGTTTATGTATAAAGCTAGAAACAATCAGTTGCCGGGTGGAATTCAAAAACTGTTTAATGAGAGAGAGGGAGGATACAATTTAAGAGGCCATTTAAACTTAAAAATTTACTCTATACGTACAACCAAAAAAAGTTTCTGTATATCTGTAAGTGGTGTAAAATTGTGGAACAAATTAAAGGACTATTTAAAACAATGTACAAGCTTAAAACAGTTTAAATATAAATATAAAAGAGGCTGTATTTCAAGGTATAGGAAAGATGAGGTATAGTGCAGACCATATGGGAGTACTCGGG